CAGCTGGTGAGCAATGAGACTCACTCTATCACCTGCTGCACTCGGCCTCCTGGGAGACAACACTGCCCCAGTCCACGCACGGCCCGCCACTAAAATGTGTTATCTTCCCACTGTCCAGGTGTTGTATTCGCATCTATGCTCTGAGGTCATGGACTACAGTATGCCTTTCCAGAATATCTGATATAAAATATGATAAGGAATTGTTGAATTGTTGTATTGAAAACTGTGGTACTACCACAGTTTTCAATACAACAATTCAATTAATCAAATGTGGACATCTGAAAATATGTAACAAACTTCAGCATTGCTCATTCCGTCAAAGGCATCAAGTCCGTTACACAAATAGAACTAGCCACTATAGAAAACATGACTAATGTATGAAACAGTTATCTTCTAGCTTACTACTAAGAGACAGAATAGGTATTTGGATAAATGAAAAACATGAATATAGCTTTTCATATCATTTTGGGCCTTCTGTCACACTTTAGTAGACCACAACATCTTCATCCTATGATTGTATGATTTGTAATTTTCCCACTGCGGGACTAATAAAGGTATCATTCATTCATTCAAGAGAAAACCTAATCTTTTTTATACTTGTAAGATAAAAATCCCAGTGAGTCACTATTTTACACTTTAGGCTGAGAGCTGAGGTTGAGGGAGCCTGGTCCTCTCGATTCAATTCAATTATTTATTTCTATAGCCCTAAATCATAAATGGCGTAGTCGTCTCAGGAGTTTGTTTCACCAACCAAAGCCGTTTGAATCAAACCATTTGAATACAAGACAAACAATAATAACAAACACAAAGGAGCCATTGGTTCATAGGAAATGAGATGTCTATAAAGGTTAGTAAATGTCCTTAAATGTCCAGGCTTTTGCTTGCTTGCAATCACGTGACGCGTAAACTTCCGGTTGACAAAGTGGTGGTCAGGCCAGCAAGAGTTGCTGCTGATATATGAAGAAAATGCGACTCTTCCGAGTATTTTTTTTCTTTTTGGATATTTCATGACACTTTGAAGCTACTGTGGTGACTGTTCTAACTCATCATTCTAACAATATGCACAAGGCAGAATCTTTCCACTACATGTTTTGGTAATATCAAGGTTGAAGCTACTGGCACCGCAGCAAATGCTAACATGCTAATAATGCTAATAAGTCTCCATTCCTCAGCTGTATGTCACTTACATTCTGTAACGTCTTTGTTTATGCTGCCTCTACCATCGACAATAAACATGTCTTCTGTGTGAATTAAAGACAAGATCCAAGACTGTCATTTTCTTCACTTTAGATTCTAATCCACAGCTAGTGTTACAATCAAGCTTTTGCACTGCTAAACAACTGAAGGTTTGGATAAACATGGATACTGTAACTTTTCCGTCTGTGGGTTAAGGAACTCAGAGTTAAGGTCCTGAAGGACAAATCCTGCATTGTACAGAGCCGTGTAAGTAACGATTGGTGAATGAACTTATCATTCTCAACAAAACAGCGCGTCTGTGGCTGTGTTCTTTTCAGGTCAAACATTCAGTGTTTATTTAAAACGCCAAGACTGCATGGCTGGGTAAATAAATAATCCTTCGATGTAAAAGCGTTTGCTAGTGAAATGTTAGCGAGTCACTTTTCCTGCGTCTTTTCGTAAAGTCTTTAGTGCGAGGCTCTTTATTCATCTCTTCATGAAGAATCCTAAAGTATCCATTAAAGGTTTCACGATTCGATCGGTTAGAAAACTTAAAACAACACATGCAAAAGGCATATTCAGACACGCTGCTCTAGTGAACAACTAGCTCGGCTGACCACCATACGCATATGTAATGAGGCGGACGTGACGTCAATTGCAAGCAAGCAATTGATACAGGTCTCAAGAACAAGGACTACTCTTTTATACTTTTCTGAGTGGAAAAGGACAAAAGACAGAGATAAACAAATGCATGCGAAAACTGTAGAATCAAACTGTTTAGAGAGCAAGAACTAGTTAGATGGATTTTTATTACATCAGGTTTAAGTACTTAATCAAAGCACTGAAACTAAAAGTGCACTATTAGCTGTTAAATTTAAAAGGTAGGAGCAGAAGTACTGGAATGGTGATGTTTAAAAGTTACAGTTGCAGGAAATAATACGAATGAAAGAAGCTGAGCAGACAAGGCTGAAGCCAAAGCAATGAATAGCTTCAGTTGTTCGAGTCTCAAACTCCATTTTAGAACAGTATAAAAGGTCACAAATCATAGGACAGGTCATGGTCCTAATTGAAAACATTGTGATTTGATCTTTTGGGCAGATTGTCCGATGTGCCCTTGCAATAAACCACAGCACTAAAGCGTAATGAAGTGCCGCGGTTGATCTAGCTCCTCTGTGGGCTCTGAATTTACTGCCTTCTCTGTATCCTTTAGCGACCGAGGCCTGGCTGCTGCCGAAGCATAAAACTATTTTAAAAAGGTGAGATGAGTTTCTGTCGCGTCACACTAAAATTCAGCTACATACGGAAACGCCATGCATGTCAAATGAAATATGCATATTTAGGAGTAGGGGCGGGCGATATGGACAAAAATAAATATCTCAATATTTGTTTCCCAACTCCCAATAACAATATTGTCACGATATCTTTAAAATCAATCATTTTTACACAAAATGATCTGTAATGTTTTGCTGCCAGGACATCTATAGATAGAGTCAGTGTAGATCTAAATAGCAGCTTCACACTTCTTTGCAAAACATGCACAAACATATATTAGCATATATCAACATTAAAAATCAAATTCAGGTAACACAGAAAGAACACATCCAAAAAGGCTAGCTCAATATTTACTGAAATGTACAAATAAAGCAGTGATTGGCTTTTTAGGTACACATTAGAACAAATGGGCATCTGTCCTTCTCTAATTGTAATATGTTTGTAAAAAGAAAAAGAACGATAATACAAAAAAGCATATCTACAAATTGACTTTCACGATATTATTGTCTACAATATATTTTGCCCACCCCTATTTAGGAGTCATATGCAATTACACTCACCGCACAATGTAAAGGATTAGATCCAGTTTTGGCATTCTTCAAGACACTAGTTCTTATGTACACTAGCTTCACGTTGTCTGTAACTTTAAATTCTAGAGTTTAAGCGAGCCAGCAGTCAAACCATATCCTTACATCTGAATGAGTCTGGTAGAGGAGGTGTTAAGAATGGCTCAGTGCCTTGTGTTTGTTGCTCCATCGGGCCTGCTCCCTCTCCTCCTGTCGTCTCTCTATTTTGCTCACAGTCACAACAAACTGAATTCCATTAACAGCAGCATCAGTGTCTATAGCACTTGTAGCCTGCAGCCTGTCTTTTGTGTGTGCTTGTGGGTGTGTGTGTGTGGGTGTGTGTGTATGTGTTCCCGAAGATGGGCGTGCTAAAGTGCGCCTAGTACCATTAATGTCTCTCTGAACTCAGCTAGAGCCACAGGTCGGTAGTCCTATGCTCTGTACAACGGCATATGATCTGCCAACTGTCAACCCTCAGTCTGTACCCCTCAGATACATGTCTCCTCGTCGTCTAGTCGTGCGTCTCGCTAACGGGGGTAGAGGGGGGGGCAGGGAGAGGGTGGGGGGGGGGGGGGGGGGGGGGGCAGGGCGACGGGGGTCCCTGTCCGTATCTGCTAGCGCGCCTCTCAGATACCGAAGACAGTCTGGTCCTCTCTGTGGCTACCCTGATACCTAACTGCTCTCTGCTATCCACAGGGTTCTGATACTCTTACAAGCTAGCGCTCTGTCTGTACCGCTATGAGTTAACATGTCACTATGATCCTACCTAACCTGTGTCATGCATACTGATACTTACTTGATCTTTTTGTCTAAGACCAGGTCAATTTGATCCTCTGTCATACTTTATCTTAGTCTCGCTAGAGGTCTCTCTGCGACTCGTCACCATGTACCCTTCAGCTGGTGGAACCCGCTATCTGTCCTCAGGTCAGCTCTCTCTTCGTAGCCCTAGCTACTAGTGCTGCTACCCCCAAGTCTGCATCAAGTCCACTAACTCTTGTACCAGCGTCTGTCCAGGTTTGCTGGTCATTCTAGGTGAAGACAGGGGGACACACACACCAGCGTCTAGGCTACCTCTGCTTGAGGGGTAGGGGGGGTAGCATAGGGGGGGGGGGGGGGGGGGGGGGGGGGGGCGGGGAGAAGTAGTGAAGGAGGAGGAAGGAGGGTTTGGGGTATAAGATGTTGAGAAGGTGAAGAGTGTGACGATTGGGCGAAGGGGGACAGGTAATGGGGAGTGGAAAGGCAGGGAAGAAGTGTTGATGAAAAGTATATGTGGGTATGTGGGGTGACATAGGGGAGACAAGGGAAGTAGTAAATGGGGAGGGAGAGATGGTGATGGGTAGCAACAAAGTATATATATATAATGAGATGGGAGAGGATGAGACTGGGGGGGATCGAGGTGGGAAGAAGGGAGGGGTGGTAGGGGAATGGGGGGGGAGGGGAGGGGGGGGAGATGGGTGTTAGAGGGGGAAGGGGTGAACAGTGGGACATGTGACTGTCAAGGGTTAGGGTAAATGGGAAGGGTATAGGAGAGAAGGTCAGAGGGGAGTCGTAATGGGAAAGGAACTAGAGGATGTTACAAATGTATTGGTGTAGGGTTGTCAGGGAGGTGTTAGGATGAGGTTAGGAGGGTGTACAAATGGGTGAGGGGGGGGTACAGTGATTGGGTAGTGTATGTGGGACTCAATGTTGGTATGTATAAAGGGAGAGGGCAGGATAGAGATTAGTGGGGAGTGAGGAGGAGGTACACTTGGAATAGGGAATGCTACAACAAGCGTGTAGAGTTCATTAAATTGGTCGTGGACAGGTCAGGTGGGGGGCATAAGAGTTTGAGTGGAGTCACAGAAGGGGGGATGGGGAGGGGTCAGTACAGGTGTATTGGTAATTTGTTAGGTGTGAATGAAGGAGTGCGGTGTAGATTGGTATAGTGGGAGAGACAGAGGAAGTAGGTAGTAGAGTGGGGTAATGTATTGGTGGTATTTTTAGTATATGGGGGGTGGTTTTTGGGGGGAAGGGGGGTATGGGGGGTTTGAGGGGTGGGTGAGGTGGGGGGGGGGGGGGGGGGGGGAGAGGGGTATGGTGGGAAGAGATGGAGAGAGGTAAGATGAGGGGAGAGGGTATATGGGCGTTGAAATGAGGGAGAAGAGTGAGGTGGAGAGGATCTACCGATGAGGGAGGGAGGGTTTTTACGAATGGGAGGGAGACAACGGGTAAGTAAGGATGAGTATATATGGGAGTTTGTGGATTGTAAGGGAGTTACAGGTGACGAGTTGAAGACTGAGGTGTACGGTGTCTTAGTCTTGGTGATATTCTCTATGAGGAGATGGGGAGGGAAGTGTGGGTATAATATGGATGACATGGGGCATGAAGGGAAGAGGTGGGAGAGAGGGGGGGTGAGGAGACGTGGGTAGGGAGATAGGTTGGGGAGAAGTAATGGGGGTTGGATTGGGGGCATGGGGTTAGGATGGAATGGAGGAGAGGGAGGGGGTCATAATGTGGAGGAGAGGGAAGAGGGAGAAGGAAGGGACTTAATTGGGAGGGTGGAGGTGGGGAGGTGTAGGGGGGAATGGTGTATGTGGGAGGAGAGTTGAGGGTGGGATGAGGACGGTGACAGTGGGAAGTTTTATATTAGGGGAGGGGTAGGAGGGAGATGGGATAGAAGTGAGATGATAAGTAAGGGGGAGGGTTGGAGGGTATATAGGTTGGATAATTGAGGGATATGAGGAAGAGATTATGAGACAGAAGACAGGGAAGAAGAGGGAAGGATGTGTGGACAGGAGGTTGTTAGTAAAAGAGTAGAAAGAAGGGGGAGGGGAGGAGGGGGGGGGAAGAGAGAATAGGGGGGAGAGAGAAGTTTGAGGAGAGAGGAAGAGATAATAGGGGTAATAGTGAAGAGAGAATGGAGGGGGGGGGGAATAGAGGGTGGGGGGGGGGGGAGGGGGGGGGGGGGGGGGGGAGAGGGGGGGAGGGGGGGGGGGGAGGGAGAGGGGGGGGGGTAGAGAATGAAGATGAGATAGAGGGGGGGGGGTATAGTGACAAGTAGGGTTGGATTATGGGGGTTATTTTGGTTGAAGGGGGAAGAAGGGAAGAGGGGGGGGGGGGGGGGGGGGGGGGGGGGGGGAAAGAGAAGAGGGTCTTTATTGTGTTAGAGGATTGGGAGTAAGACAAGGGAAGAGGGGACTAGAAGTGATAATAGTAAGGGGGAAAGGAGGGAAAAGAAGAGGGAGTAGGGAAGAGGTAGAGTGAGAGAGAATAGGAAGAAAAGTTTGTAAGGATGAGGGAGAGTAAAGTGGATAGGAGGGACAGAAGAGGAGAAACATGGGAAGAGAGGGATTAATGAGAGGAGATGATAGGGAGAGGTAGGGAATTGATGGGAAGTATGATTATGGACTCTGAGTGGTGGTTAGGAGAAGGGATGAGGGGGGGGGTGGGGGGGGGGGGGTGGGGGGGGGGGGGGGGGAGGGGAATTGAGTGGAGAAGGGGGGAGGACGAAGAGGGCAAAGGAGATAGGGGTAAAGGGGGGTAGTGGACAAGTGGTGATGAGGGAGAGGGAAGGAGGAAGAAGGGACTGGGAGTAATAGGAGGAGTTGAGGTAGAGGAGGGAGATGATGATGAGAAGTAGGGAAGAGTGGGAGTGGAAGGGTCTGAGTGAGGGAGGTGTAGGATTTATGAGGAGGGGGGGTGATGGGGGGGGTATCATAGAGTAAGAGGATAATGGGTACATATGGGAGTGAATGAGGGAGAGAAAGAGAGATAGGTGAGATGTGTTTATGGTGTGAGGTTGACAAGTTGAAAGGGAGAGGAAGTAGAGGTAGAGATCAAGAGGGAGAAGGTGAGGGAGGGGGGGAAATTATAACATACACACACACAACATTAAGAGAGTAAATAGGGAAGAGAGGTAAGGTGATGGTAGAGGGGGGTACCAGAGGTGATAGAAGAAGAGGGAGCGTGGGTGTCTGTACGGTACATGAATCAGAGGTTGTAGTCGGGCGATAGGGGTAGGGGAGACACAGTGGAATGGGGATAGAAGGGATTATAGACAGAAGCAGGGGCTGTGAGATGTTAGGTGCTTGAGGAGTTTGGAGTTAGGTAGGATGAGAGAGTGATCTGGAGAGGTTCAAATGAGTAAAATGGAGAGTATGATGATGAGTGTATAGTAGAGATGCGTGAGAGAGCAATGGGTACGTGGAGAGGAGGATGGAGAGAGGGAAGAGAAAAGACGTGTGAGAGGTCATGAGAGGGAGGAGTTGTGACAGGGGGTGATGGTTGGAGAGCAGAAGATGGAAGTGAGGTGGGCAAGAGAGGAGATGACGTGGGAATGAGTGGACATTTAGATAGGGACTTAGAGAAGAGTGGAATGAGATGGAGTATAGAGAGGGTGAGAGATGGGGAAGAGTAGAAGAGAGTATAGGGAGAGGGGGGGGGGGAATACAGGTAAGGAGAGGAAGAGAGAAGAGGGGAGATGGAATAAGGGAAGAGAGAACTGGAGAGGGAAGGTAAGGGGGTTGTGGGGGATGTATGGTAATGGTGGAGGGGTGGGAAGTGGAAGGGGGGGAATACAGATGCATGGCCCTCCTTCCACTGAGCTTAGAGAATTTAAATAAACTCATTTCACCAATAGAGACCTGGAGTATGAGATTCACTGCTGTCACGATGGCGGCGTGGCAGAGTTTGGTACTGTGTGCCGTATGGCGCACAATGGGGGGTAGTTTTGACCTCTATACCACGTGGTTTTACTTGAGAGGCCAGACCCCTGGCATCGGCTTTCTGCCCTTGTCTATATAATCCCTCCGACAATAGGATTGATGCCTTTAATCATGCATTTGCCCTAGTTTCGCTCAAACCACGTGTGGGACCAACGGAGCTGCAGACAGCCGGGTGCCTGGGCAGAAAACTGACGCCTGCAGTAAAAGAGCTTAGGGCAAAACCAGCCGCTGAGAGGCCTCCGGGATATTAATCTGTCCGCGGTGCCAGGACCCCACAGTATACCATAGAGGCGACTTGGGCCCAGCCCAGGGCCAAGCTGGCCCCGCCACCGAGGCCAGGGCCCCGCCCGGGCACCGCCAGGACGTCTGACAACATGATGGTTTTAGTAAAATCAAATGAGCCATAACCGACACATATACAAGAACAAGTACATGTACAAGGTTTAATAAGCTCTCTTCATCTCATTAGAAAACATCTCATCTTTCTGTGTTGCTTGTAATCAGGTGCCTGTGAGTAAATATTTGATATATTGGGTGAGCAAGAATAGTGCTTTCTTTTTTACTTTCTGTCTGAGAAAGCTGTTATACATGTGAAAACTAGTTGTAGTTATGATAGATTTTATTACATAGTTCAATGTATTGGATTTTTAAATTTAAATACAGTACCTCAGCTTTACTTACGTACGCTAACAGATTATATAGACTTCAAACTCATGTACTTTGCACCATTCCCTTGCAGTCTGCTGGTACAAATAGGGTTAACTGCTCAAGCGATGCATGCTGGTTGTCTCTCACTGCCATCAGAAAGAGAAATAATACCACAGAGTGAAGACGGCCCCCGGTGGCCACACAGCCTCATACTGCTGCCAAGAACTCAGCACAAAGCAAAAAAAGACTATTGCCTGGAAAACCCTGATGCCGTTGAATCTTTCTGAAGATGTGTGCCAGCAGGCTCCCGTATGCAATAAAATGTGGAGGCTGGTGTCACGTCAGGACGGAAGATACAAAAATCAAACGGTAAATAGGCACGTTGGCTGAGTGGTTAAATCTCTCTCTTTCAGCAATAATGTCCAGGGTTTGATTCCGGTTCAGAATGTATTGCAGTTTTATTGTGGATAGTATTCCTGCAGTGGATTGTGAAAGGTAGGGGCGGAGACAGGTGATGCAGAGCTTAAAGACTTCCGGCGTGCGTCATGTGACTCGGCATCACAGTCTATGCCATGGATTTATAATCATAATGCATTTGCTTGTGACACAAAATAAATACATGTTTAACCCACATTAATAGATACAGCACACAGTATAACAGATGCCACGGTGGAAGCATTCTGCGCACGCAAAGCAGGGGACGTGGTTGAGGAGGCAGGGGGGTTCATAACACCCACATGTGGGGGCTGTAGTGGGGATTGAAACAAATGTAAGATACCGGTGACGCAGCCGACGCTGGTGACACGGGAGACGTGGGAAAAAACACATTGCTGATCACTTTTTCTGCCACACCAGCGGCGATGATGATGGCAGTTCTTGAGAGAAGAGGAAGAGTATCAGAAACTTTGAAGAGCCTCTTGTTTATTGTGAGCTCATTGATTTAATCTTTCTGATTCTAAACAATGAATTTTCCAGCTTCATCTTCACTGAAACAAACACACATAACCACCAGTTCTTTGAAAGGGAACTTTGAAACCAAACTCCAGATTTCATGACTAGTAAACAATAAGCAGTGCCATCTTGATTATTGAAGGTGCTAAAAAATAATATAAATTCCATCTGTGATTTTATTTCTATCCCAAATTTAGTTTTATATTAAAGATATTTCACATTGACTGTTGACAGTATTCCCTTATCTCAACCGCGCTCAAACTACAGCTTTTTGAAATCTTCATATGAAAAGTACATTTCCAACATGGCCGCCACCTTATATGACAAATCAACTTCCATCCCAAATGTTGCTTCATATTGAAGATATTTCTCATTTACTGTATGCCTTTATCTCAAAACACAGAAACGCTTGGCATTATATCAGATTGAATCAAATTGAAAGGGTTCTTTATCTACTGTTTGTATTGTCCTATGTATGGAGGTACCTATTGTTAATCATGTGATTGGTAGTTAATCCCTCCTTGTGTCTCAGATTGTAAATGAATAAGAGCTGGCTGTAAACTTGATTTTTGATAATTTGCTTCCAGACTGTAAACCAAGACAAAACACCACAAAGTATGTTTTTATTCATCCAACCATCTGTGCACTAGATTTCCTCCTCACTGACTGCCACTGCCAACAGGATGTGGTTGGCAGCCATTTTTATGCAACTCTGATAATTGCTCTGTGCCATTTTTCTCTCCTGAAGTCCATCTTGGCACAAGTTTTAAAGCGGTCACTATTCTCCCTCCATCATGTCTCAGTGAATCTGCCTGTCCTTCCCTCCAGCAAAAGGAGCTCCAAATAATGTGGTCCTCATCCTGACTCCTGCCATCCTCAGCCAGGCTTTCTATTAAGATAAGACACAACCGATCCTCTTGGGTTTACTGTATTTGGGACATTATAAAAACAAACATTCAGTGGACAAAAATGAAAACACAATTTTTGGATCAAGAGTAATTGCCTTGTATGGGATACAGCAGAAGGCACTGGCTATAATCTAAAATAATGGCTTATTCAAACATCACCTGCATTACATTGCTAGCTGATAAACATTGCAATGGTGGTAGACATTTTTTGCACAATACATTTCTTAACTGAAAGCTGGTTTATGTCAAATCCATATGGCAGACTTTCACCCATGCACTCACTTTTCTTAGTGTACCTCGCAGTAAGTATATTAAATTATTTAGTTTTAGTAAATATTCTAGTAGTGTAAAGTTGGCGAACTAAGAATGCTTAAATAAATAAACACCATGATGAGTCATAGACTATAATATATTCTGATTTTTGTTCTGAAACTTGTATGTGTGAGACAAATATGTGCTATAATTATAAGTTCATAAGAAGCTCAACTTTCCTGGTATTTATATCAAGAGCTGAATTGGGCGCATAACCATTGACCATATATTAGGAGTGAAGTGACAGAGTGATGATGTTGACGTAGTGTTTTCCTTTTTACGGTACAAGCCTATTTGAACGTAAGCTAGCTGCAGTCAATTTCCTTCTATGGGCATTTTATCCGCGGCGTTAGCTTCGTGGCATAATTAGGGGCAGACATGTTGCCAAGACGGTTGCTAAGGCATGCTCTAGTTCTCCCCCTTGAATGAAGGCATCTGATTTTTCAGCCCAAAATGGTGAGTGTGACAAACGGTTACTGAGCTAGAGGAGTTTACTTTTCAAATTAAGTCAATAAGAGCTACAGCGAGTTGGAGAAAAAACTTTGTCCTTGAGTACTTTCCTATTGAGCTTCATTGAGCTAGGTGTGAGGGCTGGATACGCGCATAAACGTACAATCTCAATCAATCTCTACCAGAGGCATCCAGCTACCCTCCAGAGACGCACGCCTTTGTGTCTTATCACTTTTTTTCTCATTTATTCAGGATAACTGGGTAAATCTGCTGATGCTGGTCCATCTCCTCGCAGCAAGTCTGGCAGCTGCTTCTTTCCTGAATTCCCATGTTGTTTTCCAGACTTGTGGGAGCGTTTGTGTGCATCTTTCAACACTCGCCGAATGCCTATAGGCGACTTTGCAACATTTGTTTATTTCCCCTAACATGTAAAGAATGTGACTTTGTTTACAGTCAGAGGGACGCAAACATGGCATACTGTAGCTAATGTCAGGTCACATGACAGGAAACCAAAAAAATCTCCCCAATACAGATTCTATTTATCTATTTTG